ATCCCCATAATTGTATTCAACGTTATATCCTGGCAATTGAAAAAAAAATTAAAACAGGTATGTCCCATGTCTCAGTAAATATTATAATATCAAATTTGTATTGAAGTTTTGTTAATAATATCGACATTTCATTAAAATTTTTTCTAATACTCCTTATATTGGTCTGAAAAATAGAAAAACATGGCATATAAATTGTTCCAAGTACGTCACTAATATCATCATCCCCATTTATTTCAGTAGTTATGTTATCAGTAAGTTCAAAATCTCTTATATATTGGTCCATGGTAGAAAACACTAGGTATATAATTAAAATATATTTATATTTAAAGTAAAACAATGTTAATAAATGAAACGAAACGAGCACACAATCTATAGTAGATAATACGGTAGATATTCTGATAAAAATTTTAATAGCCGAGGAAATAAAGTATAAAATTTATTAATGATTGACGATATTAAATTATAGACACTTAAGTCTTTTTTCAGCTAATTAATGTTTATATTAAATAGTAACGGGCCCAGAATGGAACCCTGAGGAACTCCTGATGTTGTTGCACATTTGACAGACTTAAACCCATTAAGCTGTACAAACTGAGTAGGATTTACTAAATAGCAGTGAAAGAGATTTATCAAAGGGGGGGACAACCCAAACCCTGTAAGTTTTCCAAGAAGAATACCGTGGTCAAGTCTGTCAAATGCCTCTGAGAAATCTATGTAGATAACATCAATCTGGGCGTGCTCATCAATAGATTTAACAAAATTTGTGCTAAACAGACAAAATAAAAGCAATAAGTTTAGAGGTACTCCTCAGATATACTTAATTTCTTTAATCACAAAAAAAAACTTTAAATTAAAGTTCAGAGGTACTCCTCCTCAAATATTTAACTGACCTCTACCTTTTTTTTTACTCACAAAAGCAAAAGCTTTAAATAGAAGTACTCCTCAGATATTTAATTGACCTGTACTTAACTTTGTCACTAAATAAAAACAGTAGAGAAGTTCAAAGGTACTCCTCAGAGATTAACCTGACCTGTACTCCTCTTTCTGGTAACATGAAAACAACATTAACCTGACCTGTACTTAACTTTCCGAATGGTAGAATTAACAATTAATCGTAATTTGGAAAGAGCGCTCGTCCATTCTGACAAATTTTCCCAGTAGCACCCTTGATATAATTTAATGATTTGGTCACTAGATAGCTTTATTTTTAACTCAGTGGTATGTATTAATGAATAATTATTTCCAAACTTAAATCATTTTAACAATAAATGTTTAAATTTCTCTGCGTTTTGTTTTTCTAAGCTTCTCTCAGCCGGTCATTGATAGAAACAATTATGAAGAAAACATTTTTTTTTCATCGAATTTCTACCAAAATTAAAAGGCTACAAATAAAGACACTTGCAACCACTCAGATGTTTCGCTTATCGCTAGGCTAGGATCACCCTGTCATGACTCACGAGTGCTACTCATATTTCGTAGAACGATACGTCGGACTGGGACGCATAAGAATTTTGGTGATATGAGAGATATGCTTTATTGTCGTAAAAAAATTTACAAAAATTTTATAGACAAAGCGTGTAACTTAAATACTAAACATATTATAAAAATAACTAAACAGCAGAAAAAACAAACAGAAACAAACAGACAAAATAGGAATAACAATTGCAATGGATATGCAATATCCGTCATTATAATTATTCTAATTTAATTTTTAAATTTAAATTTAAACTTTAATATTTAATTATTTAATTAATGCCATTGTATGTGGAACTCAAATGTCTAAGGTACGTTATAAAATTCTGCTACTGTGTAATATGGTCTTTCTAGAAGTCTTCGGAACTTATCGTATGTATTTATAGATTTTAATTGCATCGGAAGGTTATTATACAATTTTTTGGCATTGTAGGTAATGGAATGTTTTAATAGGTCAGTAGTGGGCATTGTTAAATAAACATCAGTCTCTAAATTTCTTGTAGGATATCTACGAGTCGGTCTTTCGGATACATTTTAAATGTGCTTGCGAACTAAGCAGACGGATTCGAAAATAAATAGAGCAGGAAGGGTTAGAATTTTGAAATTTTTGAAGTAATTTTCGCAATGTGTCCTACTACTTAAACCAAATACATAGCGGATTGCTCTTTTTTGCAGTTTAAAAATAGATTCGAAAAGGTATAAGCTACAAGAACCCCAGAAAGGTAAACCATAGCAAAGGTGAGATTCGAATAAGGAAAAGTAGGTTATTAATGCAGTAGAAGGAGTCAGCTCTTTAGAAACCGATTTAATGGCAAAACATGCGGAGGATAATTTTTTTGCTAAGGTATCTATATGAGCAGACCATTTTAGAGAATCGTCTATATAAAGACCTAAAAACTTGATTGAAGTCACCGTTTGGATCAGATTATTGTTTAAAGTTATAGGTTGTAAAGTACCTCTGTAAGACAATGCTACAGTTTTACTGGTGTTGAAACAAAGTCCATTCGAATCAGACCAGGACTTAATAGTCACTAGATCTTCACTTATGATAGATTGTAATGTCTGCATGTTAGAATTATTCCAGGTTACACTGGTGTCATCAGCAAATAAAGTAATTCTACCACTTATTCTTAAGTCTGTGATGTCGTTGATGAATAATAAAAACAAAATTGGACCTAATACTGATCCTTGAGGTACTCCACTGCTTATTGCTAGATTTGTAGAATCCTCACCATTCGCCCGCACCTGTTGATTTCTATTTTCTAGGTAAATTTTAAACCATTGTAAAGGAGAACCCCGTATGCCATACATTTGTAACTTATTAATTAAAATATCATGATTTACACAATCGAAGGCCTTTGCGAAGTCACAAAATACTGAAGCGGTGAAAAGTTTATCATTAAGTGATGTGTATATTTCATTAAGAACGGAAAACATTGCGTCGCTAGTGCATTTTTTAGGTAGAAAGCCATACTGATGAGCTGTGAGGATGTTATGCTTGAAAAGAAAAGGCAAAAGACGATTTTTCATTAGCCGTTCTACTATCTTCGATAAGGTAGGCAATAATGCGATAGGTCTATAGTTACAGGTTTTGGTTTTGTCGCCACCTTTATGAAGTGGGATTATTATAGCTGTTTTTAGACAATTAGGAAAGAGACCAATTTCAAAGGATTCATTAATCAGTGAAGTTAAAATGTTGATTACTACATCCGGTATATTTAGAAATATTTTGGTGGACAGGCCATCAATTCCACAGGAAAATTTATTTTGGATGTTGTTTATGGTTTGCACTAGTTCATGCTTGTCTACTGGTCTTAGGAAGAAACTTTCAGTGATCCTTTTAGTAGGTAGGAGGAAGGAGAGAGCATCCTGACTCGGAGCTATGTTAGATTTGATATTTTTACTTACATTTACGAAATAATTGTTTAGTTCATCTGGGCTAGGATTTACACTGTTTGAAGAACGGGTTTTATTCCTTAAGTCATTTATTATAGACCAGGTTTCTTTGGAGGAGTTTTTAGCTCTTGCGATGCGATTTTTGTAATTGTTTTTCTTAGCAGATTTGGTGATTTTCCGATACAATATTCTGTAGTTGATGATATAGTTTAATATTAGGGGATTATCTGTGTACTTTTTAATATACATGAGTGACCTCATATTTTTAGATGATGTTCTTATTCCTTTAGTTGTCCAAGATTTATGACATTTAGTTTTAATGGGGCGAAGGGGGAAAGCTGTATTAAAACACATAATTATTTTATTTAAGAAGTCTAAAAATTTAGAGTCAATATCTTCAGAAAGACCATTCCAATCAGTAGTTAGACATAAATTATAGAAATTTTTGAAATTATGCTTAGAGAAAATTCTACCTAGCTGACGGACTTTTTTTGGAGCTGTACGGGGTATCAAAAATTTGGCAAATACTGCTTCGTGGTCTGAGAGACCTGAGCTAATTACTTGGTGCTCTACATCAACGGGATAAGCACAAAAGCACAGCATTCTTACATAGACATTCATTCAATACGTTTCACTTTATGTATTATTATTCTTAACACCGATTAAATTCGATTCTATATTAAAATTCGATTTATTTCAATTAAAATTAATTAATATAGTTTACACACTATTTGTTAAAAATAACGTAGATCACTGCTAAATTATTCACATCATAAAAACAAATTTTGGGACCTATACCATTGCATTCAATTCTAAATTATATTTTACTATTTTTAAAAGTTATGTTGCGTGCACCTTTTAACGTTATCAATGCTCTAAATTACAATTGGATGTTTTTGCCATTCTACATTTCTCAGGTCGAGGGATTTGTGAAAAATTATTAAGAGTAGTAATTTCTCTATTAGTTGCACCATATTTATTTATTATCGTGTTAGGTTGTAAAACTAAGAAATAAACCAAATTTTTTATATCCTGTTATTTGTTGTTTTTTTTTAAGGTAAACATATTTCTAATTCATACAGTATGAAAGGGGGGCAGATAATTTTGCTCGTACCCTAGGAACGGCACTGATTACATCGCCTCCGTTAAAACCCTGTCGTATGCCCTTTTTAACCGACTTCAAGGAGAAGGTTTTCAATTCGTCGTTATTTTTTTTTATATATGTTCAGCGATAATTCTTTAACACGGTGTCCGATTTCAATGATTCTTTTTTTGTTAGAAAGGGGGTACTTCAGGGGGTGGTCCCATATAAATTTGGTCAAAACCTAATAATTGGGTCCATGAGAAAATCCTCAAACTCTTCATTTTTTATATATGTTTAGCGATAATGCTTTACCACCTTGTCCAATTTATATGATTCTTTTTTTGTTAATAAGGGGGTACCTCAGGGGTGGTCCCACATAAATTTGGTTAAGATGTGATGATGGCATCTGCACGTTTTTGAAGTCGGTTTTTTTTAATTTTTAATTTCTAATACTTATGCCAATAAACACCACGTGTATTTATTTTTTCTTTGTATTACAGTAATTATTAGGATTCGTGCGAAAGTAAATTCAAATAATTTGTTTTAGGTCCCTTATTGCATTTGCCAGAAAAATATTTCATGCAAAAATACGCTGTACCTTCCCCTATCCTGCACCAATTTTTGCGCCTCTCCCGATTTGTATACCAACAATTTGGGGTACCAAAGAGAGTATATTGCAAAATACTTTCACAGTCTTCCTGAGTATGAAGTTCACAATCTACGAGCAGAAGATGGCCTTTGTTTCCCGTACGCTTCAAGAATAAATTTTTGCGACGATTACAACTTTATAGCAGAGGATTGTCCACAGCTGAGTTTCTTGAAAACCGATGTTGGGTTTATACCTTTAACTTTTGATGCTAACTATTCTGATTATTGGTCGAAATTTAAACGTTAGCAGACCGATTTTACTGATATTGATTAATAGAATGGATGAATCTTTATTATTTAATTTGTTTATGGAATGATTGATTTTTGGTTTTTACTGAATATGAAAATTTAAAAGGAATTTTTTGTTGATTTTATTCTCCTATTCTTTAATGTCTCAAATAGGAAAATATAAAAATAAATAAAAAATATTCTGTTTGAAAATCGTTTCAATTCAGTAGACTTAGATTAGTTAAACAAAAAATTATTTTAGCATATTCACGTTACTTGAAAAATGTCCAAGCCTGCTTGGTAAAAACTTAAATCTTTTTGGTCCTTTGTACATCAAAAAAATAATAGTTCAAGAATTCCTGGAACAATGCATTGTTTAAATTTCTATTCCATTCCGATTTTTCAATTTAAAAATGTTTATGGATTATAATAAAATATAGGTATTTTAATAAAAAAGACAAACAGGATCCAGGTCTATAGTCTATTTTTATGTATGAGAGAGTAATAAAACAGCATTTCTAATGCAAAACTTAGTACGGTCATTTTAAATATTTTTACAGAATAATCTAAATATTTCCTAAAATTGTAATAAATGTACCTGAGCTATTACAAGTTTTGGGTCTTTTATTGGTCCTTTATAAACATAAGCTGTACAGAACAATAGAAAAAGCTTTGCCGCCACCCTACGATAAGTCGTTGTTTCGTTTTCTTGTTGCATATTTATGGACCGATATGCGCAATCACAATTTTCCATTAACTACTAATTTTATCACAATCCGGCAACGTTGCAATTATATTTTCCAAATTTGACAGAACCATCGAGTTTCGATGTTTACAACAATGAACTGGAGTGGGGTAGAATGCTTGTCAATAGGCTTGAGATGCGACTCTATGGGCGAAGACAGGTTATTTTTCATCTCACTCGGGAGTATTTGTAACATCCATTTTCCATTTCACTTTGTTATTGTCTGATCCACCAGCTTGTGGATTGAACAATAACAATGTGAAACAGAAAATGGTTATTATAAATACTCCCGAGTGAGATGAGAAATAAAAATGGCTGCGCCCATAGAGTCGCAAATTTTTTTTTAATGTACTATTTAAAATACGCTATTTCTGATAAAAAATTAATTTCTTTAAAATTCCACTGTCCCTAAAGTCGTCCGGACCCAAAATTACTTATTCTATGAAACGACACTGCCCGTCCGACGTGGTTTTTTGACGTTTACCTCCTCACTAGCGATTTTTATATACCAATCCAGCGAGAATGCGAAGCGGGGTGCTGGCAACACTGCTAATTACCAAAAGCTTTTCCAATTTCCAATTCCAACTTCTACTTGTGCAATACATTATGCATGCAAAAAAATTAGAACAGTTACTTACATTTATTTGTTGATCTTAATTTTGATTTGTAGCTTGTATATTTGCAATCAAATCTTGAAGCATCCGGGATGTCGTCACCACCTGTTGAAGTGCTTCGGCATTAGGCATTGTTCACGTTTGCGAAAACGAAATGGCACTTACGCGAGAAAATACAAGTCGAGAGGAACTGGAAAACAGTATCCACGTAAATTGAGTCACGAAAGAAACCGAAAAGTGTCCGAACCGAGGTTAAAACAACGAAAAACTGGTAAAATCAAACTCGAACGCGAAAGAAGTTCTTTAACGAGATTTTTCACGATAAAAAGAGCAAAATGTTACACAGTTGGGACGCCAGTTATAGCAAGGGTGGCGTTGAATGCTATATATTTCGTAGGTTCCGAGAGCTCTTTTTATTTCTGAAAACTTATTACACACTTAACACATTTATTAACAAAGAAAAACACATTTGACACAGAAAAGAAGTTAAATCATTGAATATAAAAGTCAAAAACACAAAAAATGGCAAGCATCGACTTGAATCTAGAACCGCGGCAAAAACTGAACACTTGTCATTTGTCTCTTTCGATCGCATTATTGATCATGGATCGGGTAGGAACACAGAACTGAAATTTCAGTTCTGTGGGTAGGAATTATGTCTATGGGTAGGCAACTTTATATACACATGTGTATATCGGGTTGTCATAGTAGTAGGGTATTATGCCGCGTTTGAGAATCCACATCGGATGCATTTTTTACATCTCGAGCGTTTTTTTATCCACATCGGATACATCTGTCCCATTACATTTACGTATACTGAATCACGTGATCAAAGATTTTTTACATCTCAGATGCATCCGATGTGGATTCTCAAACGCAGCATTAGTGTACTTATTTTTTTTACAGAATTACATTTACAGAGTGTCCCAATCAAAAGTAGCCAGTTTCCAGAGCTTGTAACTTTTAAGCGCCTAATCGTAGAAACGTGCGGTTTTCACTGATATATGTTATTTTGCTATAAGTTTTGGTTTAGTGACACAGAAATTATTAGTTTTTTAAAAATCTTTTTTAAATTTTTACCGTAACCAAATTGTATTAAATTTATTTTGAAAAGTACAAGAGTGTATCTTTCAGATGACCTAAACATATACAGGGTGTTCCTGACAAGCACAGCATATGGGAATATTTTCCAAATGAATATTGCGCTGTAATAGCATTCGCCTAAATAATCATAATAATTAGAAACTATTACATTCTATACAGGGTGAGTCAAAAAGTTGGTAGACCATGTATACTGTTTTTAATAAAATTTTACATATTTAATATCGTTGTTTTATTAATAGACGTCAAACCATTTTAAAATAAGTATAATTTATAAACCATATACAGTGTACGTTCCTGCAAGTAAGAACAGTTGATAGCCTAACCAGTAGGCAAAGAAAAATAGACTGTCTTTCGAAATTGTCCTACTAAATAATAGTTTAAAAAATTGAATAAAAAAAAATAAACAGGTTAAGAAAAAACGATTGAGACCAAACTACTTACTTTAGGGGTGACGTGAGAGCTCTCCTTAATTCCGGTATCCAAGGGATGATCCAGGCTTTTTCTACCACAGGTTTTTGTTTCTAATTTTACAGATAAGAACATTTTGCACCAAAAATTTTAAGTTTACCGGTTCTCGATACGGTTTATTTCGCACTGACCTTTTCAGAGGTACGAATCTACAATCGTGACTCGGTCTCAAAATACGCGCAAATATATAGGCAACTCAAATTACACGTAACTTGATGAATTTGTTTAATAAATTACCCCTCGAAATGACAAATAAAAATTTGAAATGATTAGGATTCAACATACAGTATGATTCAAAAGATATTTAAAGAGAAAAATTAAGAAAAAGTTGTTTATTTAAAAATTGCGTATTTTTTTTACTTGATTTATTTTAAATAAAAAATAAATTTGTTTATTAAACACAAAAATAATACTGTTGACAGTTCAATTATACATGTCATAAAAAGGAATGTTGATTTGGCAACTGTCCGTTCAATCTTCAATTTCTTCTTGAAAAGCAAAAAATATGACATATCAACAATGATTTATCTGTTCAATTTGATACATTTTTCATTATTGATGACGTGCAATGGAAATATCATTGAAATGGGTATGCTATGAGTAGATAAACAAAGCCACTACGGTGACACATAGGGAATTCAATGTGTGAGATGTACAGATTCAGTAGGTAAGAGTGAGACAGAGTGAGGGGAAATTAAATCTCTTAAAACTTGCTTTTTATCTTCATATAATTTTATGTCTCAATTTAGTTCCCTAACTTTTATGCTAAACTCTTCAATTCTACGTCTATTCTCTTCGCTAGACATCTCAATACTGACTATTTGGAGAAATGCACTTACGTTAGACGTCTTAGACCAACCTGGCTGTAATAGTAGTTAGTTTAGTTGAAGTACGAAACGTCAAACGAAGCGTCGATTTTTCTCTTCAACCTTCATCTATACCACGTTCTCTACATAATGCCGTTTTTTTTCTGATTAAATCTAACCAACAATAACAAAGTTTATATTCCTTGTTGGACTTCGTGACGGGCTTCGGGAGGTAGATTTAGGTGAATTTCTAGCATCATTCTCCGATTCAAGATTCATTAGACGAGCCCTGCTTCGACAGGTTCTTTGAAGGTTCCGATTCTTCCGCAATTCAAGCATCTTCTGCTCTCATTTTGACTATTTCGTTGCATACTTTGCAGACTATTTAAGATTTGTAAGAGAATAGGTTGAGTGGTAGTATTAGTAGTAGCCTCTTCACTTTCCTGGAATCTAATTTCTCTCAATTTTGCGCGAGAAGATCTAGATATACTTTCTGCTGTTTCGTATTCCTGGGCTGCAATTAGCGTCTCACTCAACGTCTTGTGGTGTTATAGCCGAAGAGCCTGCTGCGTTTCCACGTCCTACAGTCCATCAATGAATGATTGTACGCCGATTTGTTCTAAGAAATCTTTAGGTGCTGCTTCGAACTTTTAGCTGGCTTTGGAATACCTGTTTCAAATGCTGCTGGCCATATCTTGTCTCCAAAGCTTGAACAAGAGATAAACAACTGGGTTCTTCTTGGGGAAGTAACTGTAAAACAGTTGCTGCCCGACCTCGCAGTGACACTGTTAATGAAGCTGCCATATCTTTCTCAATCTAGCTGCAGCTTCAAATTGGAGTCGATATGTCTCCCATGTTGTCTGCCCGTCAAACGTGGGTGACTAAGGGTCTTGCTAGTATAGTTTTGTAAAACTGGGATTCGAATGTGGCTTGGTTCAGTTATGGTTGAAGATGAGGTAGTGTTTTCAGCTTCAACGTTGCCTACTGCAGCTTGGCTACGAATTCTTCTTTCTAACTCAACTATTTCAGTTCTGATTTGCTTTTTCAAGTCTGCTCTAGCCTTTTATTGCTGTTGCTTCAAATTAGCTTTTAAATTATTTTGTTGTTGTTGTTCTAAATTAGTTTTTAGATTAGTTTGTTGTTGTTCCAAATTAGCTCTTAAATTCTCTTGTTGTTGCTCTAAATTAGTTTTTAGATTCTCTTGTTGTTGGGCTAACACATCTACTAGACTGTTTAGCTGACCTACCTTGCTTGAAATGTTCCTGAATTTGTATCAAACCATTTATAATTTTTGCTTGCCTACGCCTTTCCTTTTCTCCCTCCTCTTCCTTCCTACGCCTATCCTTTTCCTCCTCTTCTTCCTTCCTACGCTTTTCCTTTTCCTCCTCTTCTTCCTTCCTACGCCTTTCCTTTTCCTCTTCAAATCTTCTCGCCTTACTCTCTCCTCTTTCATCTTCAAAAACCATGCTG